TATTATTTTAGTTGTGTCAGGCCGTGAATGTATTGATGATGTAATTGATGGTGTATTGATGGTGTATTGATGATGTATTGATGATGTATTGATGTGTATTGATGATGTATTGATATGTATTTGTATGTTTACTTTGTTCAAATTCCATTATCTTTGTTTAAAAAAACACTCAATAACTTCCCCGTCAGTGTGTGATCCAGCTCACTGGGGTGGACCTGATCAACTACACTTGAGTCAGAGTGGAACGTTTTATATAGTTTGATTATTGTTTCATCTTACTCTCTCCACTGCGAGGGTGACAAGGTAATTAGGTCAGAACAGATTTATCCTCGCTCATTGAAAAAACAAAGGGTGAAATTGCAGGAAGTTTTAGAACCAACACTACTTTCATGATCAAGTCAGTATCTATGTTACGTATAATCCATTGATGTGAAAATGTTCAGATGACTGATATGCTTGATTTGATCCTACCTCCAGCCACTGCTTTGACAGATGCACAAATAGATGAAGGATGAAGTAAGGAAGTGAGTAATCTTCTATTGGCTGTCTATTTAAGTAATCAATAAAGCAATTCCCATTGACATTCATTGTTGTAATTATTAAAGGGAGACGAAACAGCAATGCGATGACTACAAATCTCATCAAATTAATACGAGATGGATATAGTCCGTTGTATGTTACTAGAGCTTAACAGTTAAAAACGAAAAATCTATCCCATGCATGGGTATAATCATTATTCACATTCCCCTCACAATAACTTAGCTGGAACTTAACTTTAACTGTAGAGTACCTAGCTTCACTTAAGGACCTTGTTATTCACACTCTGGTGTTTACTTTGTCTCACAAGTGTATTGGTGTCCACTTGTATCATTTGTTATAGATGCCACTAGCTAAGTTGTGTGTGCAGTAGTGTTTTGCTGTTGAGGCAATAGTGTGAAAAAGGAGTAAAAGCCTCAGACTGTATATACATATAGAGCTTAAAGTTCAATAAAAGCTAAAACACTGAGCTTAAAACTACAAGAAACCCCAAACTTCTTTTTGCACACAGTTTACTCTCAGTCTCTCTCTCTTTTATTCTCTTTCCCAACTGTCAAAACAATACCAGCCAAGATTTTCAAACTTGGACCAGACACATATACCCGACCGTGCGGGAAGGCCAGAATCCACTATAACGATTAAACAAAAGAATGAAAAAGAAAACGCCGAGTTAAAGTAAAAAAAAATATAAAAATACAATAACAAACGGAACACGAAAAGCCGACAACAAATAAAAAAGAATATAGCAAAAAAAATAAACGTAAAAAACAAATAATAATAAAAAGGACATGAATTATACGAGCATCAGAAAAAATAAAATAAACTAACTAAAGACAAAAACACAATTACAAACAATAGGAAAATAAATAAATATATACTTCCGACACACAACGAAGTAAAGAGGATAAATATAAAAATAAAAATAAAATAATAAAATAAATAAAAAAATAGAATAAACCAAAGCGGGCGCCCGAGGAGCCCGGCGTGGCCTCAAAAAACGAACCACCCGATATATAAACTAAAAACAACACTAAGATCAATTC